CAAGTATCTTTATTGTATTAAAGGAAGCTAGTAAACAACTGAAGAGAAAGTCCAGGAAGTGATAACAAGGTGATATTATCTACTGAAATAACAAAAAGGTTATTTAATAAAATAAAAATAAAAAATTGCCATAAAGGGTAAGAAACCATCTGAGAATACCCAAAGAATGCCCAAAGCTTATAGAACTATACATCTGAAAAGTCAAGCTGCAGATTTTTTTAAAATCAGAGTAATTGCTGTCATATCTCCAAATTGCTTAATGAAGATTTATAAACTACTGAGCTTATTCCCCTATGAACAGATCCCAGAAAAGTTAGTCTTTGGCCAGATTCTCAGTGCTTAAAAACTAAGAAAGCAGTGCTTTTTTTGTAAAAAAAAAAAAAAAAAAGTGCCAGAACTCACACATGTCATACTACCCGCCTTGCCTATTCTACAAGGTTCCATCCAAAAAAGGTGCCGGAACTCCGTTCTGGCCGTTCTATGACCAAAAAAAGCCCTGTAAGAAAGTATCTTTGCAGGGAGAAGGAATGCAGATCTCATATCTCCTAACAAAACTATCTTATTGCCCTTTTGACTATGACCACGGATAGAAATCTATCTCAGAAAACACAAGGAAGTAAAGATAATGTGGTTATATATCACAACTTTAACTACCTTTCTATAGATAATTTTCTAGAACTCAATAGAAATTCACATATATCAAACTAAAAAAAAATATGATTGCTCACCAGAGTCTTTCTACTTTACAGTCTGGATGTTGGAGCCCCTCGCACAGTATTTGGAATGCTTCGTCCTCTGGATGTATTAGGTACAACCATAACTCTCTTAAGCTCTGGTTTCTGCTTAATACTTCTGCAACATGACTGCTGCAGGGTTCAGTCACAAACTCTTCATTGAGCCTAGAAAAAGATTCCAAAAACTTAAAAGTACTTCTTAAGAGACAAACATGGACTATATCATTGTAGGAAGTAAAGAGACTATGGGTATTTATGGCAACTGAACTGCTTCTCCCTGGATATATTTCCAGAAAACAGTCAAGAGAAAGCAACATACATTAAACTGAAGAAGAAACAATGATCACTTACCATAGTTTTTCTACTCTACAGTCTCTGTGTTGGAGCCCCTCACACAGCCTTTCCACTACTCCATATTCTGGACTGAACACCCACAACTTTAAATCTCTTAATCTCTGGTTTCTTCTGAATAATTCTCCAAGATGTCTGCTGCAGAATTTGGCCATGGCCTCTCCACCAACCCTGCAAATATCACAAAAAGTACAGTTATTTCTTGGAAAAGAAACATAAACGTTCAGTTCTTCAAGGAACTGAAAGGAATACGGATGTTTGCTGATAATGGAACTGCCTCTCTGAGGATACATTTCCAGCAGATAAGCAGGTACTTTTGCTTTTGGAAAAATGACAAACATTGGTGATATCAATATCAATATTAATATTTATAGTTTTATGGAGAATTTTCTTAAGATTATATTAATCTAACTGTATTACATATAATGAGGGAATGAATGGAATAATGTTTTTTAAATATTATTATTGTACATTCTTTATTTATTGATATTTAATTCTTAACTACTGTGTATTTTCCCATTTTCATTTTTGTGTAGCCATTTATTCTTTTTTTGGTTTTGATGTTTTAAATAGAGAAAATATTGATTTTCACAAGTTTAAACTTCTGCATAACAGCTATGCTTGGCCCCCATTAAATCCTGGGAGGAGAGCCAAGAAAGCGAGCAAGCAGGGCCTCAGTTCTAGAGCTCCTAATCATAACCAACAACTCTCTGTAAAATGGGGAACTCCTTCTATCTGAAGGAAAAACACAAAAGAAGAAATACATTAGATTCATTTAAACCAAACATGCAGGCTTTGTACAATCATAGGGCTGGAAGGGACTTTTGAGGTCTTTTAATTCAACTCCTGTCCAAGGCAGAGACAAATGGCTGCCCAATCTTTTCTTGAACAGCTCCAGTCATGAACCATCAACAGCTCAGGGAGGCAAGCTGTTCTACTGATTAATTGTTCTTACTGCCAGGAAATTTCTCTTCAGTTCCATGCTGGATATCCCTTTAATGAGCTTCCATTCATTCTTCTTATTCTGCCCTCCGATGCTTTGGGGAATAAGTCTACTCCCTCTTCTATGACAGCCCCTCAAGCACTGGAAGATAGCTATCATATCATCCTTCATCCATTTTTAATAGGTTACACATACTTAGTTCCCTTAACCATTAATATAGGAATAGGAATAGGAATCTTGTTTATTGGCCAAGTGTGATTAGACACACAAGGAATTTGTCTCTGGTGCTTAAGCTCTCAGTATACATACAACAACAATATCATGGTATGTTTTAGATGATAAATTGTAAGATACAATCATAAATCATAAGATACAAACAGCAAGTGATAAATCATAAGATACTAATAGGAGAATGTAATAGGAAGGATAAGATGAGAAAATAAGAGTGATAATAGCAATACAGCCCTACTACAAAATATCTTTAGGCATAAGATAGTGCTGAGAGAATTAGGTGTTTAGCAGAGTGATGGAATTTTAGGAGAAGCTCTCCTATTTTATCACTTCTTACAATATTAGACAACACAGTATCAACAGTAGAGACCTTCAGGTTTAAGTATTCTATAATCTCCCAGAACTTTAAATGGACATCTAACATCAGAACCATCATAAAAAAGGCACAACAAAGAATGTTTTCCCTGTGTCAACTCAGAAATTAGTATTTCAGATTGCCCAAGGAGCTGCTGGTACAGTTCTATATGGAAATTATTATCTGTCATATAATCATATAGATTAGCACCCAGAGCCCTTTTAGTTTTGTTGCTCTTCTCTGCATTCTTTCTAGAGTGCTGTATCACACTGCTGAATCATACTTAAGTGATGATCCACTAGGAGGATGATCCACTAAGATCCCTCTCACGGTCACTACTGTTGAGCCAGGTACAGCCTATTTTGGAAAAGTTTTGGTTTTTCCTGTCTAAGTGCAGGACCTTAGTTTTCTCATCACTGAACTACATCTTGTTCAATAGGGCCCAATGCTCAGCTCTGTCAAGATTCTTTTGAATCTTGGGTCTATCTTTCAATTCCCCCCAGTTTAGTATCAAACTGAAAAAGAAATATTGATCACTCACTCTAGTATTTCTATTTTACAGTCTGGATGTTGGAGCCCCTCACACAGTAATTCCATTGCTCTCTCATTTGTGTCTTTGAGGAATAAATTTAACTCCTTCAACTTCTGGTTTGTCTTAAAGACTTCAACAAGTTGCTTGCTGCAGGACTGTGTAAGGGACCATTTTTCCAACCTGAAAGTGAAATAAATATTCAGAAGAATTAGAATGATACCTTCTGGGTTTGGGTTTCATTTTATTTATTTTTACGAGATTATGATTTTCAAAGAAGAATGGAAAAAAAGAGAGTACTGATACAAAAATTACATATATGAAAATAGATGAATAGATAATAATAATTACAAATACTCAATAAGAATAGACTTGGGAACATAACCAACTGATCTAAAATATCATATGGCTGGATAAAAAACAAAACATTAATAGTTTCTTATAAATAGTATGTAGATTATATGTCAAATAAGAAATAAAGTTTGAAACACAAATGTTGGATTTGGCACTTTTTATGTGTACAATTGACATCTAAAATGTATTCTGAATATAATGGATTTCTACATCCAATTTCCTTTTAAAATATGAAATGAACTTAGATATCAAAGTACATTTCCGCAATTTAGTTAGCCATTCTTCAACAGTGGGGGATCAACCATCTTTTCCAAAAAAGAATATATAAAATTCTTGTTGCTTTTAACATATTTAAACTTAGTATTCAGTATGTTGAAGAAATATATGGAATTAGTAACCTTTGAAAACTAACAAGATAGCAAGCAGAATGCCTTCCACCATCCAGAATGCCTTCCACCATGCAAGCTCAGGCAGAATTTTGAAAAATGTTTTTATCCAGTATGATACAAGGGCAATTATCAAGATAGCTACAAGCTTGGCATAGGTTGAGATGGGGAATCCAATCCTAAATAAGAGATGTATGGAGAAAAGACAAGATACAGGAAGCTTGAGAGACATAAGGCTTAAAAAATTGTTCTCAGAATTTGCTCTCAGGGAGTGAGGCCAATAAATCAACCATATATTCTACCCAATATTCAGCTGTAGATGTTTCCTTGGTTCTCCAGCAGGTTAACTTTGTTCTTGCCAAATTTCTCAGATCTACCAAGTTCTGCACTCTTAGAGGCTGTCACTGGTGCAGATAAGGCAACCTGGGGGCTTACTATAACCAACTCACCAGAGTCTACTCATTGACACTGCTACTACTACTGGAATTACCAAAGCCAAGACTATTGTTTCTACAGCCCCTAACTCCAAGTCCTCCCCATCCTCCTCATCAGAGGACATGACCAGCAGATCCATAGCAACTTTGAAGTCAACCATGGCAGCTTAAACCATGCAGTCCATTAGTTACACACAGAAATATTTCTCATTTTATTTGCGTATTATACCTAATTGGATGGTAATTTGATGGATTGGACAGCTCATCGTTTAAAGACTGGGATAGTTAGAGCATTGCCATTCAGTTGATAGACTAATCTATATACATAAATAGGGAAGCCAATATAGGGGAACATTGTTCTGGACTTTATTTTAAATATTGTATTAGATTCAAGTTACCTTCAGATGCTTTTCCATTTTTAAGCTTGATTTTCTCTAAATGATGATGGGTGGGGGAGACATTCAGGAAAAGTCTTATTTAGTAGAAAATAGGTGGATTACTGAGTGATAAACTGAATAACTTATGGAAATAATTTACTCAGACCTCAGAAGTAATTGAATTAATTGCATAGAGGTTTTTCTCTGGACTGAACTGGTTACAGGGCATCAAAAAATGACAGCGTTGTTCTCTTGAGTTGATCATGTGAAGCTCATTCAATCCAACCTTTGGTACAGCAGTTTCTTATTCCCCAAGATATCTTTATATTGTTTTCTAGGTGTGAAATTTCCTATATGAGTATATTTTTATAACTGGCAATTCTCAATGCATCCTTCAATGTAATTTAGCTTATTCTATTTAGATAACATGCACCTCCAACTGATTCTGAACAGTGCTATCTTTATCCAAGACACTTTTTATCAAACCAAGGTTTCAAAATTGGATTAAAATTACCTCACACTGAAGTAGATTAATCCTGTATAAGCTTCAATAGTTGATGAGAAGTTAATGTTTCATAAGCATTTTAGCTAGCTAAAAGACAAACAATGATAAGGCTTCAGGTAAGATTTAGGAAGTGAGTGACTACTATGGTACTCATTGAAGATGTACCTCCAGTTGTGGATTCAGTATGTATCTCTGGCATGTAACCAAGCCATTCTGAACTCACAGAGTAGACATGGTGTTGAATTCAGACACCCACATTAATGGAAACTGATGACAGTCAGGGTGGATTTGAAAACTGTTGGCTCAATTCTAGCAAAATATCCTCTAATCAATACCAAATCTTATGAGATTAGCCTGTGTGAAGGGATACATGCATTAACCAGGAGCAAGCTGAAATCCTGATTTCCTACAGCAGGGGTGTCAAACTTGCAACGTCACATGACGTGTTGTGACGTATCGGGACTTTTTTCCCATTACCGGCAATGGGGTGGGTGTGGTTTTTCTATGATACATCCGGCCTGCGAGCTGGCAGTTTGACACCCCTGTCCTACAGCAATAGCAAGGTAGGAACACTGTACTGGGGAGAAGACAAATGTTTGGAGTATGGTTGAAGTGAGGCCACCTATAATTCCAACTACACAACATTCTTTAGGCCATGAGTTGCAACTGTATGCAAAATTGTGAAGCTGTTCAGTTTCAGCAACTCTAGCTCTGATTTTTTTAATAGAATATTAATATCCTACTTCTGTAGCGTGAAAAAAATTGCCCACCTGAAAGATTCTGAGAGATCTGCTACAGAGGACAAAAGAATCCTTAAGGAATCAGTCCAGAGATAGTGGTGGAAACAGGGGTAATTTGGAATGGGGCTCAACAACACAAGACAGTGCTAGTCCTGATTAGGTCATATGGAGGCAAAAGGATTGCATTCTTGGGGGTCTTCACATGACCTAACTTAAGTCTTGGATGGGACTGCTCTGGCTATTAATCATCTTGACCTGCTTTCACACTTTCAGAGAACAAAATATTTATCTTTTGCTCTTACTAATTGCATAACTAGCTTCCCATTCCCATGGATAGATCTCTTACATATAGCTTGGAGACAAGAAATACCCTTTGTTCCCACACACATAGTTTTGTTGACATGACTCACATGTCAATTTATGAATAATTCTCTAGTAAGATTGCCTGGTGCCAGATGGGAGAGGGGAGCCCAGAATTATAAATCTGGGTGCTATAGGACCCATAATCACACACATCATGATGAATCTCCTATCCCACCATTATCTGTTGCAACCCAACAATATGAGAGTTCCTGTCTTAATATATTGCTTTTATTAATGTATTTTTCTTAATACAGATTTGTATTTTAAAATAATTCTGGCATCCATTCTTCCTTCTTTCTTCAGGGTCCTCTTCTGGTGGTGGATACTGCTCTATGCAATCTAGGTCTAACATATGACTGCTAATATGAATGGAATCAGAGAGAAGTTAATGGTTGTCATGGAGGCCATGAAATCCGGAATAGCACAAGATTTTATCTCCAAGACATGGAGCACTCCCAGTCTGGGGATTCTACCACAGTCAGGCAATGAAATCCAAGGGATATTGCTGGGCAGCAGCCATGCCCAGCTTGTTCCTACAGCCTTGTGTAATGGCCCTTACATATTTATATTTGTTAACTCTGGGAACTGTAAGCTTACTTGCTGCTTTGTGTGTTTGTGATGAACTGGAGAAGTACTCTTCCACTTTGGAAGAAGGTAAAAGAAAGGCAGTATCCAGCCTCATTCCCTCAGTCTTTCCACCACCCCAACTCCATCTTGACACACAACCACTCTAATGCACTCTCTCCACCAAGAGCAGATTGCTGTTTGCCAAGTACTTCTATTGATAGACCTATCAGTTCAACCCATCCAATAGGGTACAGTAGCTTCTTTGTTCAGTTCCCCCCTCCCATAACCATCATGGACACATCTCTCCTCAGATCTCCTCTCACAAAACCACAAACAAAAGTGGGGGAGCCCTGTCTCTCACTTTTCTCTCTCTAGAGGAAGCCCTAGAGCAGTGGTGGCGAACCTATGGCACGGGTGCCAGAGGCGGCACTCAAAGCCCTCTCTGTGGGCACGCGCGCCATCACCCCAGTCCTAGGCCTTCAGCTGGGTTTTATAAAACCTTTTCACTTTAGGCCTCTGCCACCGTGTGCAAAAAAAAAAAGGGTTCAATCAATCAATCAATTTCAACTTCTCTTGGGAAAAAAAGATCTTGCAAAGTTGGAATTGATTGATTGAACTTTTTAGTCCCACCCAGTCTGCCGTTACCACCGCAGCCACGCCCACCCAATGAGCCACACCCACCCAATGGGCCACACCCACCCGGCACCCGACGATGCATAAGTGGGTTTTGGGTTGCAGTTTGGGCACTAGGTCTCTAAAAGGTTCGCCATCACTGCCCTAGAACACTATATCCTGCCTCTCATCAAGAAATTCCAGTGATAACAGTGCATCCTTCCTTACATTTCCCAAACACTCAATGTCAGTTAATACCCAGTTCCATCCCAGGCTGCAGGAACCCCCAGAGAAGTCTCCTTTATTGTTGACCATGAAAGATTGATAATAGCAATATTATTAAGGGTAATATGCAAACTTCTAATATTATGTATTTTTTCCTTATCAATAACATCTGTGATAAAATGAAAGCAGTTTCTTACCTCAGATCTCTTAGGTTTCTCAGCTTTGTCAGTGATTGAAAGAAATCTTCCATACATACTTCATCCAAACCACATTGCCTAAAGGAGAAAAACATTTTTGCTCTCAGACTTTGACTTCAGTGTTTCTAATTCCTGTACTTTGCAAATATAAATGGCTTCCAGTCCATTTGTAAAGTAACCAGAAGTGAATGTACTCTTGTTGCAGTATGGGAAATTAGTAGTATAAAAAGACGATATAGTAAATGAAATGATTATAGAGCTCTGCATGCAGAAATTAAGTAATTAAGATTAAGATGGCATCCTAGATACAAAAAAATATGAATAAACTGAGAGAATATTTAAGGATTCCTAAGTACCAGAACATGGATGTGAGAAGTACTTTCCAAATGTTATATAACCATGCATACATGCTTACCATGAATATTCTCTTCATGCATAGTCATCTTCATTCACCTCCAAAGAATAATTACTGCCTATAATTATAAATAGGTGGGACTCTCTAGATTGCTGCCTGAGTTTCATTTTATTTCAGGCAAACATCTCTGCTCCAATTGGCTATTAGGAACTGTGGCAGGAATGCCTTCTCCCCTCTGGTCACTGGTTACTGCCTCTTATGCGCTTTTTGGGCAGTGGAGGGTTACCGTACAAGATCACTGAAAGGACTGGATGTTTATTTTAAAAACAGGTCACTGGTGGAACAGATAAAGGGGGAACTGCCTTTTTTTAGCAAGGTGAAGTTGACAAGAGTGCTATCCCTTGTCAATTTCTTATACCGGAGGTGACAGAAAAAAATGGAAAAATTGGAATTTTCTTTTTCCTTTTGTTAGTCCATCAGTGTCAATCACGAAGGGTAATGAATGGATGAGGGCTAGTAGAAAAGGTTGTTTCCTTCGCACTGTTATGATTTCATCAGTCATCTGACTCAGGGGTTAGAGGAGCGAACAGACAGATTGTCAGCCAGAAAAGCAAGCAGGGAATCAGGCACTTCTCAGAGCTTCCGGGCCAATGAGTCAGAGCAGATCAAACCCAGTACAGATAATGAGGGAACACATTTTGACAGAGAGCATAGTATATTGTTTTAAAATGATATATAATGATTGAGACACCTCCATAACTCGGCTACTGAAAGATATTTATGCATATTCTAGAGAGGCCTTTTTCTGACGTATTATTATATTTGGGAGAGTAGGTTTGAGAGTAGCAGTGGCATGATTATAAACTGAATTAAATGCCAAAAGGTTATAAACTTTCAAAAATACTTACCCATGTTCTAGAAGAAGCTTTTTTTTCTCTGTCGGATATATAGATGTAGGGCTTCGAACACACAGATTCTCCAAATTCTGGCAATGTTGTAAGCAATAGGCCAGGATCATCAATTCTGTATCTGAATTGCAGTGATACTCCATTGTGGTGACAGCACATAGTGCATCTTTTACAAAATTCTCATCTTGTGTCTCATACAAATAACTAAGTATTTTTGTTTCCATATATAAATAAATTCTTTTATGAAAGAATTTGACTATATATGTCTCAGGATAATGTTGCATGACCCAGTCTAGGTCGGTCCCAGTGATTGACCCAGATTCAATCCTACAAATTCTTCTGTCAATCTTTTCTTTCACCCAGTTTAATAATAACTCTTTATTCTGACTAGAAATTTCCCATCCAAATTCTTTTTTCAACTCTTTCATTCTATTTTCTTCATTTAGAAGACCAAAGAGGAAGTGAAATCCTACTGCAAAATCAGTCTGAGAATATATACTGTGCCTATATAAAAGTGTCAGTAATTTTTTATCTGGGTTTTGAGAACACTGTTCTTCTCCATCTTCTAAAACATAAAACAAAGCAGCAAAAAACTCCTGGAAGCTTAAGTGAATGAAGCTGAAGGTTTGAATACAGTGAATGTCCCTTTTGAAGATGTTCTGATTCAAAAAGAGAGGGAAGAGGTCATCCTGATACAAACTGTGCTTCTTGACATCTTCTTCCATAAACAGTATTTGCTGTTTCCAGATGCCTTCTGCAGCCAAAGAGCAGAAGGTTTTTAGCTTTCTTTGGACATCCTGTTTGGATTCTTGGTGATGAAAATCTAACAAACTGGACAGATACCGCATATAGATTGCAGTAAGAGTGCATGGTGTCTTCTGAAGATCCTTACCTGTCTCCATTTCTTGTTTCACCACTGTGCAAATGATCCAGCTCACAAGGGGAATGATACACATGGTGAAAAGGGTATCATTTTGTTTAACAAATCTTAAAGCTTGAGTTGCTTGGTCTTTGTCTTCTCCAAAGAATTTGTAGAAATATTCTTCCCTCTCCTTTCTAGAAAACCCCAATATCTGAAAAAAATGTGGATGTTTTAAACATCGATGGAGTTTGTCTAAAGCAGTAGGTCTTGTTGTGATTATAAGAGAGGATTCAGGAAGAAGCTTTTTTTGAAATAAACTTCTTAAAATAATTTTTACTGGCTCCTCCTTCCATGGATCAAAGCAAAAGGAATCTTCGAACTGATCAAAGGAATACCTTAATTCATCAAACCCATCAATTATGAATAGAAGCTTCTTTTCATTCTTCAGTATATTTTCAATGACACTTTTCATTTCCTGACACCTGGGCCATTGTTTTGAAATTATTTCTGCAATGCTACTCTTCTCTGACTCTGCATGGAGATTCATCTCTCTACAGTAAATATAGAAAACATAATTAAATTTATCATGGTAAAGTTGTTGAGAAGCCCAATCCAACATCATTTTTTTGGCCATTGTGGTTTTTCCAATTCCTGCAGCTCCTTGCAACACAACAATTTGTGGAATTAGTCCACGTTTACCACGGTTAAATAATGTTTCAACACTGGTTGAAGAATCAGCTCTCTTGTTGATGATTTCAACATGTTTTCTTCCTGTTACCCGAATTTCATGTTCTCGCTCCTTTTCAGGCCGATAATAATCTAGGATGATTAGGTTTGAGTATCTCTGATTCAGGAGCACATATTCACCAGGAACAGCATTAGGATCTTCAATCGTTTGAAAATTGTTTTTAATGTAGTTTCTGTAATCTAAAGCCAGAAAAAAATCAAATTACAAGTGTCAAAAATAAGGCCTACAAAAGACACTCATTAAGGAGTTTGGTTGCTGGATCTTCTTGAAGCCACTCCCATCCACCCTCTGGATTAATGTGTTTACAAGAATTGCATGATACTCCACTAAGTGATCAAAGTAGGAATTGATTTCAATAGGCAAATGTTTGTTAATTAATACATTAAATAATTATTTTTTCACTATATAGTTCATCCTGTTCCACATAATATTTCTGTAATAATTGCACTAAATGTTAATAAGTTATATAAAGATGTTTCTTTGGACATTGATAGACAGAAGTTTTTAAACCTTACTCCCTTGGAATATGGGAAACACACTTTGAATAAATTTAATACCAGCATAATACATATTTTGTGCAGTTTGCTTTTTATTCACAAAGAAAAAGAGAAAC